TTCAGACAAAGAGTAGAAACATGTTTCAACTAATAATTTTCGTAGTTGACATTTAAAACTAGCAATGCTACTGACATTCCTGAGGTTAGCTGAAGATTTGTTATATATTCTAATGTATTGTGATGACTTCTCAAACAGCATCAGTGTGTATTTAGGAATACTCAGACTCTCACCTGCCGCTGTATTGTAGTGTGTGTTGATGTTTTTGTTCTGTATAAATTTTGTTTTGTTTGTATGTGTGAAAAGTGCGCACTTATAAATATGAATGCTTGGTCGAGTCATGATGTTCTTACTTCTGAAGATCTCTCTGCAGGATTCTCTTCTATGGATGTTGAATATCAATCGGATTATTCTCTTCTGTTGAAAAAAGCTCTAGAAATTGAAGTTGATTCACCCAAAACTATGAAGTTTACTGATAAATGTGGGTGGACGAGAGCAAAGCTGATTCTGATAAGCAAATTTCGAGCTTAAGAATTGCATAATATACTTTTTACACACACTTGCCAACTGAGTTTTGCATCCACTTCTATTTACAAGAATGTCGTAGTTTTAGATGTCTCATGATTTGCTAGAATAGATGCGTTTATATAAAAATGTCAAGGTTTAAAACCAAACGATTTGCTTGTCATCACTCTTTCATTTCATCCTTTACTTCTTCATTTATTTTTGCAATAATGCCATTGCGTGTAGTTCCACTTCCAATTTGTTACAGATCCTGAGAGATGCAAATCACTTTTATATAGAATGTATACAAGGGGTGCTAAAACTGAGCCTTGCGCTGCTCCAATGAGATACTGTTCGTTGCGGATGTAATTTCATTGACTTTTGCTCTGAATGTCCTATCAGATAAGAAAAACGCTACCCAATCTAATATAAAACCTCTTAAACCTAAATAAAATAATTTTCCCTCGAGAAGTCCAATGTTAATCGTATCGAAAGCTTTCGGTAGGTCAAAAAGATGTGCGCGATTCATTTAATCATATCGAGCTGTTCCTATATGTAACTTACAAACTCATAAGTGGCTGATTCCAAAATATGAGCTAAAAATACAATATGCTTCAACCATTTTAGGACTATGTTGCCCTTTAAACGAATTCGACCTTTCTTAAATAACTCCAAATTAACGCTGTATAAACCAACCATTTTTGACAAGCACAATAACCTGTCAAAGGCTCACATGATGTAGTGCACAGAGAACCGGTCATTCTAATCGCCATCCTAACCCTAAGCTAACATTGCTTACAAAATTACACCCTGTATAAAATTGGCCCAACGATATTATTTTTTGATAGCTTACAAGATCTATTCAAGCTTAATTTCGATAAATCAACCGTTTATAACGATAACATCGTTGTCCAGGATTCTTCAAAATAATTTGAATATTTCTATACTTGCCGAAAAAGAGGTGAAACCAAAAATAAAGCCAAAGGTAATTTTATGTAGTTTTCATAGTTTTGTTTTTTGATTTTTGTGCAAACAAAAGGTAGAGACTGGTAGATTACCGTCATTACCTCATCACCGGACCAGCAATAAAGAAACCGAAACCTGTCTGGTTTCAAAATAAATATTTATCTAAAATGAGAGGTGAGTTCAGGGGTAAAACAGAAAAATATTCACAATCCCATAAAAGCAAGAATCGAAATAGGAGTTTCCAGAATGGTTGCAAAGTACTTTGAAAGAGCGACCAGTATGCACATTGTAGAAGTTGTACCACTGATCTTGGGACGGCGTTTACCTTATACCAAATTCAACGACACTATTTACCGATTCCGTTTTTTTTTGTCGGTTCGGCAACACTGCAGATGTGCAGATCACTTTAAAAGCAATTGATATCCCAGACGTGTTATAATAATGCAATGTTTGGAGATATATTTTCATAAATAGGTATTTTTGAGTCTGACTTATGATATCTAGACGACGAATAATAGGTGGATGAGATACTTTTACAAATATCGATGTTTTAGGATGCAGAATGTGCTGTTTGTTTACATTTGGTGTGGATTTCTATATCATAAGTTGACAAAAAATGTTTTTGATGTAACAAAAGGTGATAAACCAGTTGGAATACGTATTATATCTTTTTTTTTTGCAGTAACAAAAATCGGTACATTTCTACAGGTACGTATTATGTACAACACCCTGTTCGTGATAAACAGACAAAACTAGATTGTCATGCATGAACAGTCATCAAAAACAGTGAAAACATCCTACCAAATATAATAGCTAGAAAATCGACCTATTATTTATCTCATCTTCATTGGTCCATTTAAATAACCGTCTTTTCTGAAATGATAAAAATTTGAAATTCTATGAAAGTTAACTTAATTCTAAAGCACACAGAAATAATATCACATCTATAATGTACCCTTGTTTATAAGGCAACCGTTTTTTCACGACTTTATTCAACATTGCAATAGAAGTTACTGATATTCAGAGAGCTTTGACAGCTTCCGTCAAATTGCATTTCGATAAGGTATTTTACCATTGGTCCATGGGACCGCTAAATATTAACGTTGGTGAAATTGGCCCTAAGACTATGTGACTATAGGAGGCGGAATAAAAAGCAGACATCGCATGTGTCTTGGTTAATCTAGTCTATAAGCAAACCCCATTTGAAAAACCGAAATTGATACATTCCTAGAGCAACAAAGTAGTTATCGGTTTGATATGAGCATATTCAAGATCCCTTTAGTGTACTCAGAACGTCGCCTTCACTTTCGATGTCTTTTTCCATCAGAACTGCATATCATGTTTGTTTATATCATGCAAAAGCCATCTGGTTGAACATAACTGGAGGCCTAGACTGCCCCAAATAGTACAAATGCAGTAAGATATAAACAAACTCTTTTTTACGTTTTCGGTGCTGCTTTGTCGTAAATTTGCTTTGTTATTGCAAACACAGATGGCTCTCAACTTCCAGGACACTCTGATTACAGTCATTTCATCAAAAGAACATAAAATATGCACCAGTGCAACACTAGTTCCGCCAAAAGAAACCGCTTGAGAAGAAAGTGTAGTTCAGAAAACAATCTAGCTCATTTCTGATGGGTCTCTGGCACAAAGCAACGACGGGTATCATTAGTTGACAGATCGTTATTCACAGGTGGAACGATGTCGCACGCCGTGCACTTTCTGCCCTATTGACCACTGGGACGAGCATTTTGATCGTTTTTTTTTCCGGGAAAGTACACATCCGATCGACCCTCACACTCGAGAAATACTAGAAAGGACGCATCGATCGGAAGTACGGATGCATGAACTTTGTAGCTAGCTGTGATACTCGTATGAAGAAAGAAGTATTTTGAGCGAAAGAATCTGGATCTCAAAGAAAGTTTTTACCCAAAGTATATTGAAAGTATATTGTACGTCTAAACATAGGTACATCTGTACTTCAGAGGCAGACTAGGTTAAGTACAAATAAGTTGTTTCGATATAATTGAGTTTGAAATGTTTTTCTTGTATTGCATTGTATGCGTCTTGACATGAGTTAACTTCTTTATTATTACAAATAGATAGACGTTGCAAGTAGCAAGTGAAAATTCACAATGTTATCTTAAGCTCAACACACTGAACTCATTTTTGACAAAAAATGGACTTAACCTAGTCTGGCTCTGGGGTACAGACATAGTTCGATACGGTTCCAGCTAATAGCTGCTATCCACTCTCGTAGTGGTCGATTCTGGCTATAGATATTTCGATACCTCGGATCGAGGATAGGTGCTATGGTTTCGTACGTTGTCCCAAAAACCAAGCCTAGATCACGCTGATAATTTGCAAAATAATGAGGTCAAGTAGGTTGACTCTGCATCAGTTCATAAAGGACAACTTGGACCGTATCGAATTGAGACAGTGCCGTAGACCTTATATCCTGGATAGTGGATTGTTGCTATGCTTTGATTCGTTGTTCCGAAGACCAAGCCTAGATCATGCCGATGACTCGCCAAAAAAGAATCAAACTTGGCCATGGTCGCTGTCCTTGGTCAGAAAGACCATCTGCGAAAATTTGGTTACGAACATGTACAAGAGAGAAATTAAACGGATTGAGTCAATCAAACAGGACCATACAATTAGTATATCGACATTCTCTCGCTGCCCTACCACTGGTTCCGTCGATCTAGTAACGTCTCCCCTCCCGAAACCTGATCGCATGCGGCGTCAGTCACTCTATTTTACTTTCTTCGTTATTGGCTTGGACCGATTTTCCTCCGCCACCACTGGACCGATTTTTAAAAACTACAAGTGAGTATTACTGCTATAATTTTATGTTTAAGTGTTTATGTTAATTTCCAATCAAGATAATGCTCCAATATAATTCGTAGACTGTGAAAGTTTTTTTTAATTCCTTAAGCAATTTTAGTATGCAACACGTGATTCGGACAGTTGACAAATAGTTTTTTGTACTAATCGTCTATACACTCATAATAATTGTTGTATGTGGTTTTGGAGGATAGAAGTTCAGAGATACAGCGCAATGGAAGGGACCAAAAAGAGAGGAAAATTGGACCAACAAAGTGTAAAAGCTGCGATAGATAAGGTTTTGTCCAAAGAAATGAGTTTGAGAGAAGCTTCGTCGCGTTAGAATATCCTAAAGAGCACTTCACATGATAAAATATGGGTATTGAGTCGTGGAGTAGAAGTGGCGTTTCAACCAAAGATGTGTAGATTCACTAGTATCTTTTCGCCAGAGTACGAACAAATTGTAGTGGACCACGTAAAGGACTTATCCAATAAATGCCTGCCGCTGATGATAAAGGAATTTTTGAAGTTAGCTTAAGATATTACTGGTCTGATCAATGAAGCGTTCACCAAAGTAGCTCGGCTCGATATTGCGGTGTCTGGCTTTAAATGCACAGGAATTTATCCATTTGATAGACATGTATTTTCTGACCTGGATTATTTGGCTGCAAATATGACCAATATTCCACTAGAAAAGACAGGAACTTCCTTATACAAGTTGGGGCAGAGAAGCTTATGTGACTTCCCTGGTTAATAGCTCATCTATGCCCTCCGATGCAGAACTCTCAAACCATTTAGACTTAAAAGAATCGACAGACCCTCCTGGAGAATCTACCAATGAAACAACAACTAGTAGTCCCGAGCCGTCCACATGCTTTGATCCAAATGTTGTCCAGATCATCTATAAATTATCGCGATTGCCAGATACTGTGATCAAAAGGTCAGTGACTCGGAACAGAAAATGTGAAAAAGTGGAATTCTAACATAATCTCCCTACAAAATAGCTGTTGAAAAAAAATGAGGAAATGGTAAATAAAGTCAAAAGAGCCATAGGAGAGAAGGGTAAACAAACCAAAGGTGTGAAAGCTAAAGAAAAAAGTGGTGATAAAACTAAGAAAATGGAACCATTATCTGAAACATCTGAGGCAGAAAAAACTACCTGCGTAGTGTGCTTAGAGGACCACGACGAAGACTGGATACCATGCTCCAGCTGCCAAGGCTGGGCTCACGAAGCATGTGCAGACATTCCTGAACGTGGAGATGCCAACTTCGAAGTTGAGTCATTTATTTTAACAGTGAGTAGATCTGATCAAAAGAAATGTTTTTTTCCTTTACCATTTTCCTGGTAAAATTAAAGTAACAAAGTTATAGCCCTTTGGAAGTTTGAGTACCGCCCTGTCTCAATAATAATATTATGTGGTCGTGTTTGGCGACAACGGATATAATCCGCCGTATCGGTTCATCGCATCGGAAACAAAAAAGCGAAAGAATTTCGAACGATGTTTTTTACAATTATTTCATTCATTTGTATACAGTCAGTGTCAGTGAATAGTGGTATCTGTTGCGTGGCTCAAACGAAATAAAAAATGGCACATGTTTATGCGGATCGGTTTCCCAATCGAGTGCAACCAACCCCTCGTGCCTTTGTTAATGTAGTACAACGGGCTCGTGAATCAGGTGACTTAAGACCTCACAGGGGACCTCACGATCAAATACAGGTCCGCACTGAAATACTTGTCGGGAGGATACTTTATAAAACAAGGTAAAAAATTTTTTTTAATTTTTTTTTTATTTTTACACACATATTTTGGTTTATCTTCCTTCTACAATCATTATCTGAAAATTAATGACTCAACTTCAAAGTCACCCTGTATATGCGATCTATGCACGATGACTTAATGATCTCGGGTGCTTGGAAGAAGTTAACCCTCCATCAGTCTCGGTGTTAGAAAAAATCTAACAAAATATAATTCACTACAGAGTTCTTATTAAAAATTAGTATTATAGCCTTGAGACTCCTGGAATGCCTCATTGGTGTCGCTAGGCAACATCTATGCATAATTCGCGTGCAAATAAAGTAAATAGTCATCTTGAATTTGATAATTTTAGTATATATCTAACGCGCGACCGATCACGTTGTTCAAAAGTGTTAGCAAGAATCTTACGGTGCGACCTATCCCGTATGTGATTTTTTCGATAATCTTGGTAAGTTGAACTGTCGCGTAACTAATACAAAAGGATAATTTTAAATATTGCTAAGGGCTCAAAGTTCATTTTTTTTGTGGCGTTGCTTTGTCAAACTTTTTGATTTTACTGGTAATAAAGAATGATTATGATTTTGATATGTCTGTCATGTTTTCTCGTTTTCTATGAATTCCTTGACATAATTTTTATCATATTCTTGGTTAGATTTTATTTTGTCTTGTAAATAAATATACGGCAGGTCAAATTTTGTCAATAATTAGACTTATTATTGGTCTTTCCAGATATGATTTCACCAAGAACAGAAGCCAAATGGCAGCAATGGTACGAAGAAGTTGAATCAGATGTAGGGTCTGAGTTATATAAATGACGCTGCCTCTGAACACAGTTTGCATGATACTAATACGGAGCAATCCTCGGACTCTGATGACGAGGATATTTGTTTACCTTTATCTCTATCTGCTTTGAAGAAAATACCGCATTTCACTGGAAATGATGGCACACCATGGAAAAACTATACCAAGACGCGCATTCATTACATCTTTGGCAAAAGAGCTTATAAGACCACACATGATGAAACGAGCTCCCCTTACAAATATTTCTTTTCCTCTTGGACAAAAAATTCGATCGATTACTGGCATTCAAAAGAAAAATACACCCCCACAGAATCCAGAGCAGAAACCAAGGTGCGGATATTGCCAAAAATAGATTTACACAACATAAGTGTGACCGCTGTCAAACACCTATCTGTAAAGAGCATACCTTATCAACTATTTTTATTTGTAAAGAATGTAATGATGTTGGAGAAGAGAATTAGATTCTTATTTCCTCTGTTTATCATAACACATAAAAGTTAATTCTATAGTTAGATTCTTATTTTCTCTGTTTTTAATAAAATATATATATATAATACCATTTAAAAAATATTGCTTTTATTCCAAAAATATAGAAAAATAACTTTTTAGAAAAAATCTAATTGCGCGCCTTATGTTAGATAACGTCTATACACGCGACCGATGACGTTGTTTGAGGCCGCGCGACCCCTGGAGGGTTAAATCCGTCCAGTACTAGGAGCCAAACGAAAAGATTACACCTTTCTTTATCATAACTTAAATGAGGTTCCTAATTACGTTTATGCAAATGTTGTATTTTTGTTGATTTATTTTGGTTTTATAATTTGTTGTCTTTACTGATTCATAAATAAAGTTACATTTTTCGAAGTAGTTTTTGTTGTATTTTCTGAAAACCTCAGGTGTTCGCCACTAGGGACTTCCCCCTAAAGGTCTGAATGGAGCGTAATTAAAACACTTTTTGCATATATGTCCGCCATATTGGATCCGTCATAATGGTTTTTGGAGAAACCATACTAAATACCATTTTCAAAAACTACAAAACTCAAATTCGAGAACAATGACATGACATGTGACTTTTGACAAATGGATATCATAATCTTTACCACGACTTTTGAGCCACTATGCATTGGTTTTATTCGTGGTCATTACAGGAACCTTCAACCTCTAGTGCTGCAAGATAGTCCTGAGACTAAGTAACTGCCAACGGACATAGAACAAACAAATTAAAAAGGTTCCTGTTTTTTTCTCTGATCCCGGTAATTCTACGCAACTATCAAAACATCGAAGATACAAGATAAACATGTCACGAACTAGCCACTGCTGCTGGCGAGGCTGCGATTCTGTAACACAAAACACGTTTATAGATTTGTCAAGGGGGACAACTTCTTACCCAAAAACTACTTCACCCCCCTTCACCATCTGCCCCCAGGGTCATCCATTTCAAAATTTCAAAAGAGTGATAGCTTGTTTCAAAGGCCTTTCGAAGTCCTTTATTTTGACGTTTGGTTTTTCAAAATCGGTCGATTCGATTTCAAGAAAATTAGAAAAATCTTTATTTATCCTAATTTGTATATTTGGCAAACCCTAACGGGCAGCATTTTAAACACTTATTGAAGTATACAGTGTGTTATGTTTTCTATCTGAACAAATTAACCTAAATAATAAATTTTCTAATTTTCTTGAAAACGTGTCGACAGATTTGAAAAAATCAAAAGTGAAAATGAAGGACTTTGAAAGACATTTCAAACAAGCTATTACTTGATACCCCTTGTCTTTTAAAATTTATAAGAAGGCAGAGGCTAAGATGGTGTGAAGTAGTTTTTGGTTAAAGACAAATCTTTTGACATGTCTCGGCGCTTTGTCTTTTAATCAGCGGTTTTCGATAAATCCGTCGTGAGAAGTTTTCAAATGAACACCACCCTGTATAGCTATCACCGCGGCTGGTAGTAATGATAATTGTTAGTGAACATCAGTGAGCTAACAATGTTTGCCGCGGTGTGGATTGGAATTTGATGTAAGACATTACAGAATTTTTCCTACGAGTCAACCTACTTGACGCCTTTTTTTTAGTTCTTGATTTATCGATTTTGCATTCTAGATTTCGATAGCTCTACGGTCATATGACAGGCTGAGTGGCACGAGGAACACCCCTCTCCAAGGAAATAATGACGTCTTTGAGTCTGTTTCCAGAGCACTTGAGTCCAGGTCGCGTTTGTCAACGAGCAAGGGGATGCCTGGATGGCTGGCGGCCGACCTGTGTGTATTGTTGCGAAAGAGGAAAAGGCTAGTCGAGGGCGCGGAAGGGTATAAATACATACGCGGAAGGAATCGTTGTAAGAGAAGCTGGATAGCGCAATTCTGAAAAAATATATAATCAATTAGTTTTAATCAGCATTCACGGAAGGTATCCATGCTTCCGGATGGTACGCACACTCTTGTGTCCATTGGTTAGTCAGATCTTGGAATAATCTACAAAAAGTCTAGTCTAAAATGTATGATAAAAGCGACTACCTAGTCGTAAAATGGTAAAGGAGGGGCTTGTTAGTTAGCATGTCCCTTTGATATCTATTTTTCCGCGCTAGTTTTTAAGATCGACACATTCAATTAACGTCAAGATAGTAGGTACTGACTATCTTATACGAATACGAAGATAGGATGGAAAGTCCTCGGTCTGACTATCACTGTTTCATTTTTGACGTAATCTGCGCTAATAGACTTGGTCCACCGTTTCTCCAATATCATTATTTCTTCCAGAAGGGGAAGCCTGGAAGCCTGTCAAAATATTAATCTGTCAACTTCTTCATTGCACTCAAAGCGCGTTCCAGGAATAAATTTCTTCAAATCCGGGGAACATAATATATTTATTTATTTATTTATTTATTTATTTATTTATTTATTGAAATCCACCACCAACAGTGTTAACCAATTACTGGTGGCAAAACAACAATAGAAATAGTAAAAAAAAACATATAAAAATACAACGAAAACTAAAAACTAAATCATTTCACTGCAAACTCTCTTAATGTTCGAAATACTTGTGTTGAACAAATCAAATGTACTCTGTAGACTATTATAACATGAACACATCGAGTACAAAGGTGAGTGCAACAGTAAGTTAGTTCGTGGGGTAGGTAGGTAAAAAGTGAGTGTATTGCGAGTAACAAATTTTGGAGCATTAAATTTAATCTGTGCTAGAAATGATGGACAATCATAACTGCTATGCACTACTTTATGCAGGAATATTAGCGAGTGAATCTTTCTTCTGTTATCAAGACTGATAAACTTGTGCTTCCGTAACAGGTCTTCCTGTGGGACCCCAATGGGTGGGTACGTACCGTCAATTTTGAATGAAAGAAATTTCAGAAATTTCCGCTGAATCTTCTCCAGAGAGCCACAAGTTGTAACATAGCATGGATTCCATATTAGCCGCCCATATTCTAATTTAGACAGTATGAATGAATTATAAAGCATAATCATGACATCTTTGTTACTTAATTCCTTTGAGTTACGTATTACAAATCCTAATAATCTGTTGACAGCATTAATAAGGTACTCAATATGAGGATTGAAGCTAAGTGACATGTCGAAAATCACACCCAGGTCCTTGCATTCTTGTACTCTCAGCAGAGAATGATTGCCAATTCTGTAGTCAAATGTAATAATATCTAGCTTTCTGGTGTAAGACATAACACTACATTTACTGTAGTTAATTGGAAGTCGATTTACAGCACACCATTTAACTATTTTCGCTAGGTCTTTTTGTAAGTAAGCACAGTCAGTGCTGCAGTCGACATTGGAAAAAATTTTCAGATCATCAGCATAGATTAAGTGGCTGCTGTCGATGCCGCTAACAATATCGTTTATGAACAGTATGAAAAGCAAAGGACCTAAGCAGGAGCCTTGAGGTACCCCTGAGGTTGGAAAGAATTCAATGGATTTGACACCCTCATATTCAACATATTGCTTTCTTCCTGATAGATATGACTTAAGAAAGGATAACAGCTTGGGGGAGAATCCAAAATAGCTCAGCTTCGTTAACAGAATACTGTGATCAAGTTTGTCAAATGCTTTACTAAAATCTGTATAAATTACATCCACCTGGCTATTAGCATCTAATGCAGAGGAGACTGACTGAGTAAAACAGGCTAGGTTAGTTATGGTTGATCTACCCTTCATAAAGCCATGCTGAGAAGTACTTATTTGGGCATGTGTATTGTGGTATAGGAAATTATGAAGCAAAGTTTCTAAGGCCTTGGAAAAGATACATACTAGGGTTATCGGTCTATAATTTTCAACCTGTAGTCTATCACCCTTCTTGAAAATGGGACGCACCTTTGATTCGCCCCAAATTTCAGGAAACGTGTCAGTCTTTAAACATAGGTTGAAGATCTTTGTCAAGGGATGAGCTAGGATGTAGGCACAGTCACGTACTAAAAACGATGGAATTCCATCGGGTCCGGAGGTAAATTTATTTTTCATTTGCTTTAACACTGTAAAAACTTCTTCTTCGGAAAAGCTCTGAAGTATTATGTTAGTATGCAAGTCCGAAATATTGATATCAGTTGCGTTCGAAGGCATAGTATATACAGATTGAAAAAATAGCGCAAAAGCATTAGCAATTTCATTGGGTTTGTCATACTGCTTACCATTATAGTTTACTTGGCTGATTGTGGAATTTTGTCCCCTTTTATTACAGATAAATGACCAGAAATTGTTCGGATCCTGAGATAGTCTACTTTGGATATCTACTAGATATTTTTGATATGCGTTACGCTCATCGCGCTTAATTTTGGTCCTTAAGTCTTTGAACTCAGTGTATGTGATCAAACTTTTATCCTTTTTAAACTTTTTGTGTAGCAAATTTTTTCTTTTAATGTCTCTAATCATTTCACCGTTAAACCAAACTGGAAATTTGAGAGATCTGAGACTTGTCCTAGGGACACACATATTAAAAATTTTACGCAGAATGTTATAAAATGTTTCCAAAGCTACGTTTACATCTGTTAAATTGTCAAGAAACGTCCAATTAACCAAGCTTATTTGTTCATATAGTGCTACAAAATTGGCTTTTCTGAAATTATATGATTCTCTGGCGCATTTGAT